AATCAGTCCAATTATCAACCCGTGTTCAGATACACCCTGCAGACAGTATGCACTTCCCAAGTCACTACGGAAGAGAGAGCGAGAGCGAGCGAGATAGAAAGATAGACAGATAGATAGATTGATGGATGGATGGATGGATGGATAGGTAGAAAGAAAGATAGAACGATAGGTATATAGATAGATAGATAGATACAGAGAGATAGAGAGAGAGAGATAGAAAGAAAGAGTAGGAGAGAGAGAAAGAAAGAGAGAGAGAGAGAGAGAGAGAGAGAGAGAGAGAGAGAGAGAGAGAGAGAGAGAGAGAGAGAGAGGAGGAGGAGAGAGAGACAGGGAGAAGGAGATAGAGATAGAGAAGGAGAAAGAGAGATAGAGATAGATAGAGAGAGATAAAAAAAGAGAGACAAAGAGAGAAAGACATAGAGAGACAGACGGAGACAGACAGACAGACAGAGAGATAGATAGATAGATAGATAGAGAGAGAGAGAGACAGAGAGAGCGAGAGCGAGAGAGAGAGAGAGAGAGAGAGAGAGAGAGAGAGAGAGAGAGAGAGAGAGAGAGAGAGAGAGAGAGAGGGAGAGAGAGAGAGCGAAAGGAGGAGAGATGGAGAGAGAGAGAGAGACAGAGGCAGACAGAGAGGGAGACAGAGAGTTAGTGTGATTGATCGAGAGAGACAACGAGCCTTACCGGCACTGTTCATGACGGGACGCTGTTGCAGGTTCCGCAGTGTGTACATAGGAGGTACATTCCCCATTCGTCCTGGGAGATGGCCGCTCATATGGCTTCGGATACACCATTGTTACTGGATTAGGGGATACAGATATAATCCGATACATAGAGTAATCAGATACAAATTATTTTATACTCAATCTGCGGATAGAACTGTTTCGTCCTTTGTGGACTCGTCAGCGCAGTACAGAGGAAATGAGGCCAAACCTGATAGCAATGGAAATAAAAATTTCCAATCAGGCCCGAACGTACCTTGCCAAAGTGCTCAAATTGACAAGTCAGTGAGCTCTGCATAAAGCAAACAACAGCAAAGGCCCCACGGTATTATTTTATATATTTATATAAAATAATACCATGGGGCCGTGTTTTCGGGTGTGTGCAGGTGCGTCACGCCCAAAGTGCGTCACGCTGAGAGTGCGTCACGGCGAGGGTGCGTCACGGCGAGAGTGCGTCACGGCCAGAGTGCGTCACGGCGAGAGTGCGTCACGCCGAGAGTGAATATATACATGTATATGTAGAGAGAGAGCAAGAGAGAGAGAGAGAGAGAGAGAAATAGAGAGGGAGAGAGAGAGAGAGAGAGAGAGAGAGAGAGAGAGAGAAAGAGAGAGGGAGGGAGGGAGGGAGGGATATAGGGAGGGAGAGAGAGAGAGAGAGAAGGAAGGAGAGAAGGAGAAGGAGAGAAGGAGAGAGAAGGAAGGAGTGGGAGAGAGAGAGAGGGAGAGGGAGAGGGAGAGGGAGATAGAAATAGAGATAGAGAATGATAGAGAGAGAGAGAGAGAGAGAGAGAGAGAGACACGAGACAAAGAGAGACAGACAGAGAGAGACAGACCGATACAGAGAGAGAGAGAATGAGAGAGAGAGATAGATAGAGATAGAGAGACAGAGAGAGAGAGAAAGAGAGAGAGAGGTAGAGAGAGAGAGACAGAGAGAGAGAGAGAAAGAGAGAGAGAAAGAGAGAGAAAGAGAAAGAGACAGATACAGAGAGAGAGAGAGAGCAGGAGAGAGGGAGAAAGAGAAAAAAAGGAAAAGAGAGAGAAAGAGAGAAAGAGAAAGACAGAGAGAGAGAGAGAGAGATGGCCGGTTCAACGGAGTTGCGCAGAACAAGAGCAAATGCACGAAAATATTTTTGAGTGAAAAATACGTTTTTTGCACTCTTTCGCTACTCTCAGCCGTGAAAAAACAAAACAATACAATGTTCGCCAGCAGGATAACGAGGTGTAAGGGGTAACAAAAAGTGAGGAAAGAAACTATGGACTAAACATGGAATAAACAAGTAAACATCAACCTACATAAAACCCTAGCATAAAGTCTAAAGCCAGGACTGAAAAAATTGTCCTCACTCTTTCTCCTTTCTTACACTATTATCTCTTATTGGCCGCTGGCTATCGTGAGAACAAAGATTTCAAACAACAAAAACAAAAATAACAACAACAACAACAGAAACAACGAGTAAAACGAAACAGACAAACCATGGATATCCGAAATAAAGTTGAAAGGGGTGCATCGATCGGGCGCTTCGTCATGATTGGTACATGGGACCGTGTTGTCACAGTTTGCTGCTTGCTCAGGCTGTGCAGTAGAGCTCCTGGCCATGCGAGTACAAGTAGGGAATAATGCACAAAAACAAAAACCATTATCATGTAAGGCTCAGCACCATGGTCCCAAAACAATACACGCCATCACGTGGATAATCAGTCCACTTATCAACCCGTGTTCAGATACACCCTGCAGAAAGTATGCATATCCTAAGTAACTACAGAAGAGAGAGTGAGAGAGAGAGAGATAGACAGATTGAGTAGATAGATAGATATATAGATAATTAGGTACTCAATCTGCGGACAGCATGCTGGGTAGATAGATAGAGAGATAAGGATAGAGATAGAGAAAGGAAGAGAGAGAGAGAGAAAAGGAGAGATTGAGAGAGGGAAAGAGAGAGAGGGAGAGATACAGAGAGCGTGACAAACAAAGTGAGGCACAGAGGTCATGAGAGAGTAAGAGTGATTGATCCAGAGAGACAACGAGCCTTACCCGCATTGTCGATGACGGGACGTTGTTGCAGGGTCCACAGTGTGTGCATAGGAAGTACATTCCCCTTTCGTCCTGGGCGTTGGTCGCTCATTACACAACATGGGGACTGGGTTAGGGATCGCCGCCCTGTAACGCCGCGTAGCTGGGAGGGTTTCCCCAACGATTGGGAGAACTTCGGCCTCTGGAGTAGAACGACTGGCCATGCAAGCACAAGTTGGGAATAGTGAACAAAAAACACCATTATCATATAAGGCTTAAGGCTCACCACCATGGTCTCAACACACCACACGCCTTAACGTGGATAATCAGTCTAATTATCAACCCGTGTTCAGATACACCCTGCGAGATAGAGATAGAGAAGGAGAAAGAGAGATAGAGATAGATAGAGAGAGATAAAAAGAGAGAGACAAAGAGAGACAGACAGAGAGAGACAGACGGAGACAGACAGAGAGATAGATAGATAGATAGAGAGAGAGAGAGAGAGAGAGAGAGATAGAGAGAGAGAGAAAGAGAGAGAGAGAGAGAGAGAGAGCGAGAGAGAGAGAGACAGAGAGAGAGAGAGAGAGAGAGAGAGAGAGAGAGAGAGAGAGAGCGAAAGGAGGAGAGATGGAGAGAGAGACAGAGGGAGAGACAGAGGCAGACAGAGAGGGAGACAGAGAGTTAGAGTGATTGATCGAGAGAGAGGGAGAGACAGAGGCAGACAGAGAGGGAGACAGAGAGTTAGAGTGATTGATCGAGAGAGACAACGAGCCTTACCCGCACTGTTCATGACGGGACGCCGTTGGAGGTTCCGCAGTGTGTATATAGGAAGTACATTCCCCATTCGTCCTGGGAGATGGCCGCTCATATGGCTTCGGATACACCATTGTTACTGGATTAGGGGATAGATATATAATCCAATACATAGAGTAATCCGATACATATTATTTTAGACTCAATCTGCGGACAGAACTGTTTCGTCCTTTGTAGACTCGTCAGCGCAGCACAGAGGAAATGAGGCCAAACCTGATAGCAATGGAAATAAAAATTTCCAATCAGGTCCGAACGTACCTTGCCAGAGTGCTCAAATTGACAAGTCAGTGAGCTCTGCATAACGCAAACAACAGCAAAGTCCCCACGCTATTATTTTATATATGAGCCGTCAGATGCGAAAAGGGTGCTTATGGCATCACACAGCAAATCGGCCCCGTCACACCGAAACAAGCCACTGTGGGCTTGGTATCGCTGGCGCTCAGCTGGCTTGCGTGATCCCTGTGACGCGGTCACACCAGACCTTGAGTGCAAAGCTTGAATGGCTTGTATTTCTTACCCACCAAATTTTGAATATCTCGAAACACACCAATGTTTGCAAGAAACCGGAGAGCAGAACGTTCGCGATCTGATAGCAATGGAAATAAAAATTTCCAATCAGGCCCGAACGTACCTTGCCAAAGTGCTCAAATTGACAAGTCAGTGAGCTCTGCATAACGCAAACAACAGCAAAGGCCCCACGCTATTATTTTATATATGAGCCGTCAGATGCGAAAAGGGTGCTTATGGCATCACACAGCAAATCGGCCCCGTCACACCGAAACAAGCCACTGTGGGCTTGGTATCGCTGGCGCTCAGCTGGCTTGCGTGATCCCTGTGACGCGGTCACACCAGACCTTGAGTGCAAAGCTTGAATGGCTTGTATTTCTTACCCACCAAATTTTGAATATCTCGAAACACACCAATGTTTGCAAGAAACCGGATAGCAGAACGTTCGCGATCTAAAACTGTACTTGTTCTAGTGTTCAGTTTTGATGAAGAAGCAAAGGATGCCCGGATTCTGAATTGCGAAGTCGTGCTCTTTTTATTTGTTCGGTGTGCATGGACGCGATGGTTCGGGTGGTGTTTCCTGATGTCGAGCTTTCTGCCCCACCGGTTGCCGTTCTTGAACTCAGTTGCAATCCACCCTCTTCTTCGTACCCGGCTTTCTTCATGAATTCGGTCGTGAGTGTGGTGCCTTGTCTTGGCCTCAAACCACAGCTCCAACAATCTACGCAGCAGTCTAGAGGCACAGCGGCAGAAATCCATGGTCGTCGGACAAAATCCAAATCAAACTGAATACAGTGTAGTTGGATAGACAAACTCACGGTCAAAACCAAAGGCACAGGGATAGCACGGTTCCACGGACACAAGAAAGAACATCAATATCAGTTCATCATGTCAACTAGCTACATGGTGTGCTCCAAGCGCACTCAAATTATTGTGAAAATGTGTTTAGTTATCCCCTTTCCATTTCGTCTCCCTGTCAGTTGTGTGCCTTTTTTCGCACTCGCTGAATTGACAATAATGGTTACTTTGGTGGACAGTTAGTCATAACTCGTTGTGTTTTGTCCTTCTACTTTTTTTATCCATGTTTAATACATTGGTTCACCGTCCGAGTTCAGCCTTTCCATTTGTTAACCCTTTCACCGTCTTCTCGTTTGTTCCACGTTTCCTCATTCCTTGTGTACTGTAAGGTCACTTAAGCCGAGACTTCAGTTTCCATACAATACCTATGACTGCAGCTAACTCTATTGTATAATATCCTTCAATATCCCGAAACACTGTGTATTGAGCAGGGAGTGGTGCTTTCTTGCAGGTTTGCCGAGTGGAAGGTGCGACGTGCTCCTCGTGTGCTCCAGATGGCAGTCGTGAGTCAGTCAAGTGTCAAGTTCGGCAAGAAGCCTGTGTTCCTAGTTGGAACAATCAACTTCATGACTATTACCGCCGAAGTCGCAACTTCTAAGTTCCTTCAATATCGTTTCTATTATACCAAATCCTACACTATCCTTTCCATCGTACAATATCCTTTCTTTAGGGTTGTGCTTACTCGTAAAAACAAAAACAAAAACGTATTCACAACCACCGAGGCGTCACTCCGCTGAAAGAGTGCGGATGCGTGTGCTTGAAGCTGTGTACATTGCACTTTTGCATGCAGTATAAAGCGGAGATGACGTTGACTTGCGAGCGTGATCAACCCAAAGTTGAGTTGAGTCGAGGCGGCACTGTGACTCGTTTGAGAGGTCCAGCAGGCAACCATTTCGCGTTGTTTTGCTGACAACGCACCCCAGTGGCGTATCCAGTTGGGGCGCATGGGGTGTGTGCCAGGCCCATCCCCGCGTCTGAGAAACAAAACACCCTCTGAGATAAAGGACGTGTGCGGGCAGACACGTAGCATGATAAGAGCCTGGTCTTTATAGTACGTATCTGTGTGCTCATTACTGACAGATTGTCCTCCCATTGGTTCCGCTCCACAATGGGCAAAGGAGCTGATGTGTCCTGGGAATTTGTTGTTTTTTCCTGACTTTGAGGTGTAGACAACTGTGAATGACCAGACGCAGAGTCAGGTTGTGGACTACCCGTCACTAGGGAGGTTTAGTCTCACGTAATCCGTGGGTACTTTACGTGTGTGTACCACGTGATACTCAGTGACCCACGTACAGACGTGTTCTGATTCACGACATACCGTGTATGGAGGCTCACCCACGTTCTGGCAGAATGGAGCGCATTGTGCAAGCTGTTAGGGTGCTCAGCTGAAGAAGTTTCCGAAGCACGAAATCAAAATATTGGATGAGCTTCTTAGGCCCGGGTAGCTTCGTCTTTGACCAGGTTTGGGCCTTTCGCTTTATGCTTTTGTTTGTTCCGTGTGACTAAACACAACATTGCAACGTGGGTGCCCTTCATCCACTTTACGTGGATCACCCACGTACGCGTTTCCATTACGTGGGAATTAAACCTCCCTAATATCTCGTCCACCCCGGGATACTTCATAAAGGCTGATTCTAGAAACTGGCGGATTCTGCTCGAAATGGTGGCAGATTCTGCTCGAAAAGCAGTAAAATGGGCAGAACCATACAACCTTATGGCGGGCAATTCCTCGAATTCTGCTCCATTTCTTTGTCCACATACCAAACATGCATGAAACTTACCAGAAAAAGTACCGAATTCTGCCAATTTTTCTGCCGGCAGAATCCGCTGGATCCTAGCTGATTCACTCGCATCTTTTGCTACATGTACTGTATTACTATCAGTGTGAGAAAGAACCTTTACTTTGAAGAAGACGAGTTCGAGCATGCAATACTTGAATGACTGTATTGCCATGATCTCTACCTTGCTTTTCACTGAAAACACTGTGATGTATCTGCATGACCTCCGAACCCTTTACCATGGAGCTCGCCAGCACTGATCAGGTGCATTACACACAATTGTGTAGCCTACACACTAGAACTGCGGTACAATCATGTAGTTATGCTCCTACCTCCGAAAGGGCGCCAAATTATGCTCCAAATTTTCAACCACCATGCCGGCGTAATCCGCCGGGGCCTAGACTGCGCCCTACTAGATGGGGATTTGTATCCAAAATGTCACTAAAAGCGCCATTTCGTTCTTATAAAAGCACGGATGACCGCGCTTGGCCCATATGTTGTAGTCTTTTGGACGCTGCGTCGGCTGGTTTTGGTCCGAAAAGGCTGCGATCCAGCGTTCTGCCCATATTCCCAATCGAACATAGTTGAAGAAGCGGTCATGTGCTCCTGCCTACACTAGTCACCTGGTCACCACGCCAGCAGGCGACAACTTTCACATCAAGGTTCAAAGGTTCAACTCGAGTGGGAGAAACTCGCCCAAACATGCTGTAAGTTGTAGGCTGCAGGAAAGGTGACCAGGTGACTGGTGTACTCACGAACACGTGACCGCTTGTTCAGCCATGTTCGATTGCACGCATTGGAGGTTGTGCCCAGTGATGAGCTTTGCCGGCCTGATATTTTCGCAGACAAGTTGTCCGAAACGGTATCCGATTGCCCTCACACCCGGCTCGTGGAGCCACAGCATGCGTTCCCGGTAGGCCTTTGCGGATAATGTTGGCAGAAAAATTGGCAGAATTCGGTACTTTTTCTGGTATGTTTCATGCATGTTTGGTATGTGGATAAAGAAATGGAGCAGACTTCGAGGAATTGCCCGCCATATATGCACAAGGTTTGTATAGTTCTGCCAATTTCACTGCTTTTCGAGCAAAATCTGCCACCTTTTCGAGCATTATCCGCCAATGCCTAGTTCCCGGCCCTCAGTCATGCGCTCAAACATGCAAAAAAGAACTTTTTTGTAAGATGCTAAAAAGTACAAAAGTCACTACATTTACACGCATGTTGTTCACGGGTTTGAGGGAAAACAAAAACAAAATTTATTTACATGTAGGTGAAACAACGCGAAATATTGTTTTTCACTCACAAAGCGACTGTTCAGTACATGGGGTAGTGGTCTGCCAGAGCAATCACACTCACCACCGTGGTGGTTTTCCAGAAATGAGTAGAAGCAAAAAACCACACTCGCAGCCACATAATAGATAAATAGCCGAAAAACATCTAAATCCATCAAAGAACCGCCAGAAAGCAGGAGAAAAGTCCGTGAAATCAAGTGAAACAGCATGGCCAGTGGTGAGCATGGGTGACTGGACAGCAGGGGAGCGCCTGAAAACAATGACTCCCTACATTCCTAGCCGCGACCGCTCAACCGGGCTAGAGGAAAAACACGCTTTCGGCCAAAAAACCTTTCTATTTCATTAATTCCTGCCCCGCTGCCAGTCGGACCCAAGAATAGAGACAGCAAGAAATGGAATGTAATAACCAGTGTATGTCATAATCATAAGCCACACACATTGGCATACAATATCAAAAAGAACAGGGGAAGACCCCCCATGAAACCAGGGTGGGTGGGCGGGCAACTTCAACTACCAAGAGGAAAAACAAAGACCACGATGGCAGGTTCAACGGAGTTGCGCAGAACAAGAGCAAATGCACGAAAATATTTGTGAGTGAAAAATACGTTTTTTGCACTCTTTCACTACGCTCAGCCGTGAAAAAACAAAACAATACAATGTACGCCAGCAGGGTAACGAGGTGTAAGGGGTAACAAAAAGTGAGGAAAGAAACTATGGACTAAACATGGAATAAACAAGTAAACATCAACCTACATAAAACACTAGCATAAATTCTAAAGCCAGGACTGAAAAAATTGTCCTCACTCTTTCTCCTTTCTTACACTATTATCTCTTATTGGCCACTGGCTTTCGTGAGAATAAAGATTTAAAACAACAACAACAAAAATAACAACAACAACAACAGCAACAACGAATAAAACGAAACAGACAAACCATGGATATCCGAAATATAGTTGGAAGGGGTGCATCGATCGGCCGCTTCGTCATGATTGGTACATGGGACCGTGTTGTCACAGTTTGCTGCTTGCTCAGGCTGTGCAGTAGAGCTCCTGGCCATGCGAGTACAAGTAGGGAATAATGCACAAAAATAAAAAAACCATTATCATGTAAGGCTCAGCACCATTGTCCCAAAACAATACACGCCATCACGTGGATAATCAGTCCACTTATCAACCCGTGTTCAGATACACCCTGCAGAAAGTATGCATATCCTAAGTCACTACAGAAGAGAGAGTGAGAGAGAGAGAGAGAGAGAGAGAGAGAGATGGAGAGAGATGGAGAGAGACAGAGAGCGAGACAAACAAAGTGAGGCACAGAGGTCATGAGAGAGTAAGAGTGATTGATCCAGAGAGACAACGAGCCTTACCCGCATTGTCCATGACGGGACGCTGTTGCAGGGTCCGCAGTGTGTGCATAGGAAGTACATTCCCCTTTCGTCCTGGGCATTGGTCGCTCATTACACACCATGGGGACTGGGTTAGGGATCGCCGCCCTGTAACGCCGCGTAGCTGGGAGGGTTTCCCCAACGATTGGGAGAACCTCGGCCTCTGGAGTGGAACGACTGGCCATGCAAGCACAGGTTGGGAATAGTGCACAAAAAAACCCACTATCATGTACGGCTTAAAGCTCAGCACCATTCTTTCATCAAACCACACGCCATAGCGTGGATAATCAGTAGAACTATCAACCTGTGTTCAGATACACCCTGCAGACGGTATGCACTTCCCAAGTCACTACAGAAGAGAGAGCGAGAGCGGGCGAGATTGATAGATAGACAGATAGATGGATGGATGGGTGGGCGGGTGGGTGAGTGGATAGATGGATGGTTCAATGGGTGGGTCGGTGGGTGGGTGGGCGGGTGGGCGGATGGATGGATGGATGGATGGATGGATGTAGGGATGGAGGGATGTAGTAGCAGTAGAAGTAGTAGTATTTATTATTATACTTGGGTATACCCAACAGGCCTATGGCCTTCTTACAGGGTGCCCACGGAGACAATGAGCCTTACCCGCACTGGTCATGACGGGACGCTGTTGCAGGGTCCGTAGTGTGTTCATAGGAAGTACATTCCCCTTTCGTCCTGGGAGATGGCCGCTCAAATGGCTTCCAATTCACCATGGAGACTGGGTTAGGGATCGCCGCCCTGTAGTGCCGCGTAGCTGGGGCAGTTTCCCCAACAATTGGGTGAACCTCGGCCTCTGGAGTAGAACGACTGGCCATGCAAGCACAAGTTGGGAATAGTGCACAAAAAACCATTATCATGTAAGGCTTAAGGCTCAGCACCATGGTCTCAACACACCACACGCCATAACGTGGATAATCAGTCCAATTATCAACCCGTGTTCAGATACACCCTGCAGACGGTATGCACTTCCCAAGTTACTACGGAAAAGAGAGCGAGAGCGAGCGAGATAGAAAGATAGACAGATAGATAGATTGATGGATGGATTGATGGATGGATAGGTAGAAAGAAAGATAGAACGATAGGTACATAGATAGATAGATAGATAGATAGATAGAGAGAGAGAGAGATAGATAGAAAGAGAGAGTAGGAGAGAGAGAGAGAGAAAGAGAGAGAGAGAGAGAGAGAGAGAGAGAGAGAGAGAGAGAGAGAAGGAGAGAGAGAGACAGGGAGAGGGAGATAGAGATAGAGAAGGAGAAAGAGAGATAGATAGAGAGAGATAAAAAAGAGAGACAAAGAGAGACAGACAGAGAGAGACAGACGGAGACAGACAGAGAAAGAGATAGATAAATAGATAGATAGATAGAGAGAGAGACAGAGAGAGAGCGAGAGCGAGCGAGAGAGAGAGAGAGAGAGAGAGAGAGAGAGAGAGAGAGAGAGAGAGAGAGAGAGAGAGAGAGAGAGAGAGAGAGAGAGAGAGAGAGCGAAAGGAGGAGAGATGGAGGGAGAGAGAGAGACAGAGGCAGACAGAGAGGGAGACAGAGAGTTAGAGTGATTGATCGAGAGGGACAACGAGCCTTACCCGCACTGTTCATGACGGGACGCTGTTGCAGGTTCCGCAGTGTGTACATAGGAAGTACATTCCCCATTCGTCCTGGGAGATGGCCGCTCATATGGCTTCGGATACACCATTGTTACTGGATTAGGGGATACATATATAATCCGATACGTATTATTTTATACTCAATCTGCGGACAGAACTGTTTCGTCCTCTGTGGACTCGTCAGCACAGCACAGAGGAAATGAGGCCAAACCTGATAGCAATGGAAATAAAAATTTCCAATCAGGCCCGAACGTACCTTGCCAGAGTGCTCAAACTGACAAGTCAGTGAGCTCTGCATAACGCAAACAACAGCAAAGGCCCCACGGCATTATTTTATATATTATAGAAAATAATACCGTGGGGCCGTGTTTGCGGGTGTTTGCGGGTGCGTCACGCGGAGAGTGCGTCACGCTGAGAGTGCGTCACGGCGAGGGTGCGTCACGGCGAGAGTGCGTCACGGCGAGAGTGCGTCACGCCGAGAGTGTAGAGGAGGAGAAGGAGAAAGAGAGATAGATAGAGAGAGATAAAAAGAGAGAGACAAAGAGAAACAGACAGAGAGAGACAGACGGAGACAGACAGAGAGATAGATAGATAGATAGATAGATAGAGGGAGAGAGAGAGAGAGAGAGAGAGAGAGAGAGAGAGAGAGAGAGAGAGAGAGAGAGAGAGAGAGAGAGAGAGAGAGCGACAGAGAGAGAGAGAGAAAGAGAGTGAGAGAGAGAGAGAAAGAAAGAGATAGATAATATAATAAGTTAGATAGAGAGAGAGAGAGAGAGAGAGAGAGAGAGACAGAGAGACAGAGAGAGAACGAGAGATAGAGAGAGATAGAGAGCCACAGAGAGAGAGATAGAGAGAAATAGAGAGCCACAGAGAGAGCGAGATAGAGAGCCACAGAGAGAGAGAGAGAGACAGAGAGACAGAGTGTCAGAGAGAGAAAGAGAGAAAGGTAAAGTGACGGAGGGAGAGAGAGTAGAGTAGAAGTAGCCTGGTGGTCCTTTTGGCAGAAACGATTTAGGAGAGACAACAGAGAAAATGAGCGATCAGTTACGTTGTATTCTTTCCTCGACACTCTTTCAGTTCGCCCTAGCGCAGCTCCAGACTGCTACATGTGTATGCCCTCGCGGACTGGGCCACAGCTGGAGGATCCTCTTCGAGCCGTGTAAAATCGCCACGATTTCTCATCGCCGCCTACCCTTGTCAATTTCTCCAGTCACATTCAATGGTGTGCCCATAGAGAAAGTCTTTCGTCAGTGCAGACTGGCAGTCATCCCCAGATGTCTGCCTACACCTCCATGAGGACCCACTCTACTTTCACACCACCCCCCCCCCTCCGGAAAAGTGTTTAGTTATCCCCTTTCCATTTCGTCTCCCTGTCAGTTGTGTGCCTTTTTTCGCACTCGCTGAATTGACAATAATGGTTACTTTGGTGGACAGTTAGTCAGAACTCGTTGTGTTTTGTCCTTCTACTTTTTTATCCATGTGTTAATACATTGGTTCACCGTCCGAGTTCCGCCTTTCCCTTTGTTAACCCTTTCACTGCCTTCTCGTTTGTTCCACGTTTCCTCATTCCTTGTGTACTGTAAGGTCACTTAAGCCGAGACTTCAGTTTCCCTACAATACCTATGACTGCAGCTAACTCAATTGTGTAATATCCTTCAATATCCCGAAACACTGTGTAGTGAGCAGGGCGTGGTGCTTTCTTGCAGGTTTGCCGAGTGGAAGGTGCGACGTGCTCCTCGTGTGCTCCGGATGGCAGTCGTGAGTCAGTCAAGTGTCAAGTTCGGCAAGAAGCCTGTGTTCCTAGTTGGAACAATCAACTTCATGACTATTACCGCCGAAGTCGCAACTTCTAAGTTCCTTCAATATCTTTTCTATTATACCAAATCCTACACTATCCTTTCCATCGTACAATATCCTTTCTTTAGGGTTGTGCTTACTCGTAAAAACAAAAACAAAAAAGTATTCACAACCACCGAGGCGTCACTCCGCTGAAAGAGTGCGGATGCGTGTGCTTGAAGCTGTGTACATTGTACTTTTGCATGCAGTATAAAGCGGAGATGACGTTGACTTGCGAGCGTGATCAACCCAAAGTTGAGTTGAGCCGAGGCAGCACTGTGACTCGTTTGAGAGGTCCAGCAGGCAACCATTTCGCGTTGTTTTGCTGACAACGCACCCCAGTGGCGTATCCAGTTGGGGCGCATGGGGTGTGTGCCAGGCCCATCCTCGTGTCTGAGAAACAAAACACCCTCTGAGATAAAGGACGTGTGCGGGCAGACACGTAGCTGGATAAGAGCCTGGACTTTATAGTACGTATCTGTGTGCTCATTACTGACAGATTGTCCTCCCATTGGTTCCGCTCCACAATGGGCAAAGGAGCTGATGTGTCCTGGGAATTTGTTGTTTTTTCCTGACTTTGAGGTGTAGACAACTGTGAATGACCAGACGCAGAGTCAGGTTGTGGACTACCCGTCACTGGTGAGGTTTAGTCCCACGTAATCCGTGGGTACTTTACGTGTGTGTACCACGTGATACTCAGTGACCCACGTACAGACGTTTTCTGATTCACGACATACCGTGTATGGAGGCTCACCCACGTTCTGGCAGAATGGAGCGCATTGTGCAAGCTGTTAGGGTGCTCAGCTGAAGAAGTTTCCGAAGCACGAAATCAAAATATTGGATGAGCTTCTTAGGCCCGGGTAGCTTCGTCTTTGACCAGGTTTGGGCCTTTCGCTTTATGCTTTTGTTTGTTCCGTGTGAATAAACACAACATTGCAACGTGGGTGCCCTTCATCCACTTTACGTGGATCACCCACGTACGCGTTTCCATTACGTGGGAATTAAACCTCCCTAATATCTCGTCCACCCCGGGATACTTCATAAAGGCTGATTCTAGAAACTGGCGGATTCTGCTCGAAATGGTGACAGATTCTGCTCGAAAAGCAGTAAAATTGGCAGAACCATACAACCTTATGGCGGGCAATTCCTCGAATTCTGCTCCATTTCTTTGTCCACATACCAAACATGCATGAAACTTACCAGAAAAAGTACCGAATTCTGCCAATTTTTCTGCCGGCAGAATCCGCTGGATCCTAGCTGATTCACTCGCATCTTTTGCTACATGTACTGTATTACTATCAGTGTGAGAAAGAACCTTTACTTTGAAGAAGACGAGTTCGAGCATGCAATACTTGAATGACTGTATTGCCATGATCTCTACCTTGCTTTTCACTGAAAACACTGTGATGTATCTGCATGACCTCCGAACCCTTTACCATGGAGCTCGCCAGCACTGATCAGGTGCATTACACACAATTGTGTAGCCTACACACTAGAACTGCGGTACAATCATGTAGTTATGCTCCTACCTCCGAAAGGGCGCCAAATTATGCTCCAAATTTTCAACCACCATGCCGGCGTAATCCGCCGGGGCCTAGACTGCGCCCTACTAGATGGGGATTTGTATCCAAAATGTCACTAAAAGCGCCATTTCGTTCTTATAAAAGCACGGATGACCGCGCTTGGCCCATATGTTGTAGTCTTTTGGACGCTGCGTCGGCTGGTTTTGGTCCGAAAAGGCTGCGATCCAGCGTTCTGCCCATATTCCCAATCGAACATAGTTGAAGAAGCGGTCATGTGCTCCTGCCTACACTAGTCACCTGGTCACCACGCCAGCAGGCGACAACTTTCACATCAAGGTTCAAAGGTTCAACTCGAGTGGGAGAAACTCGCCCAAACATGCTGTAAGTTGTAGGCTGCAGGAAAGGTGATCAGGTGACTGGTGTACTCACGAACACGTGACCGCTTGTTCAGCCATGTTCGATTGCACGCATTGGAGGTTGTGCCCAGTGATGAGCTTTGCCGGCCTGATATTTTCGCAGACAAGTTGTCCGAAACGGTATCCGATTGCCCTCACACCCGGCTCGTGGAGCCACAGCATGCGTTCCCGGTAGGCCTTTGCGGATAATGTTGGCAGAAAAATTGGCAGAATTCGGTACTTTTTCTGGTATGTTTCATGCATGTTTGGTATGTGGATAAAGAAATGGAGCAGAATTCGAGGAATTGCCCGCCATATATGCACAAGGTTTGTATAGTTCTGCCAATTTCTGCTTTTCGAGCAAAATCTGCCACCTTTTCGAGCATTATCCGCCAATGCCTAGTTCCCGGCCCTCAGTCATGCGCTCAAACATGCAAAAAGAACTGTTTTGTAAGTTGCTAAAAAGTACAAAAGTCACTACATTTACACGCATGTTGTTCACGGGTTTGAGGGAAAACAAAAACAAAATTTATTTACATGTAGGTTAAACAACGCGAAATATTGTTTTTCACTCACAAAGCGACTGTTCAGTACATGGGGTAGTGGTCTGCCAGAGCAATGACACTCACCACCGTGGTGGTTTTCCAGTAATGAGTAGAAGCAAAAAACCACACTCGCAGCCACATAATAGATAAATAGCCGAAAAACATCTAAATCCATCAAAGAACCGCCAGAAAGCGGGAGAAAAGTCCGTGAAATCAAGTGAAACAGCATGGCCAGTGGTGAGCATGGGTGACTGGACAGCAGGGGAGCGCCTGAAAACAATGACTCCCTACATTCCTAGCCGCGGAAGCTCAACCGGGCTAGAGGAAAAACACGCCTTTCGGCCAAAAAACCTTTCTATTTCATTAATTCCTGCCCCGCTGCCAGTCGGACCCAAGAATAGAGACAGCAAGAAATGGTATGTAATAACCAGTGTATGTCATAATCATAAGCCACACACATTGGCATACAATATCAAGAAGAACAGGGGAAGACCCCCATGAAACCAGGGTGGGTGGGCGGGGTACTTCAACTACCACGAGGAAAAACAATGACCACGATGGCAGGTTCAACGGAGTTGGGCAGAACAAGAGCAAATGCACGATTTTTGCACTCTTTCGCTACTCTCAGCCGTGAAAAAAACAAAACAATACAATGTTCGCCAGCAGGATAACGAGGTGTAAGGGGTAACAAAAAGTGAGGAAAGAAACTATGAACTAAACATGGAATAGATAAGTAAACATCAACCTACATAAACCCTAGCATAAAGTCTAAACACAGGACTGAAAAAAATTGTCCTCACTCTTTCTCCTTTCTTACACTATTATCTCTTATTGGCCACTGGCTATCGTGAGAATAAGGATTTAAAACAACAACAACAAAAATGATAACAACAACAACAACAACAGCAACAACGAATAAAACGAAACAGACAAACCATGGATATCCGAAATAAAGTTGGAAGGGGTGCATCGATCGGCCGCTTCGTCATGAT